AAAAAATCCTTTTTTAATATTTTTAAATTGCTAAAATGTTCAAAAAGGCATCTATTATATAATATCAATTTCTGATGTCGCCAATAATTGGAGATGCGCCGAAATTCCGGCTGCCGAAAATTAGTTAACCGCTCAGGTTTTACTTTCACGTGGTGTGACGCTCTGGTATTATCCCGCTCTATGTGAGTGCTCCACTCATATACCGTTCATGCTCATCGGAACAGCAAAGTCCACTCAAAAATCGAGCCGACAGGAAACATCGATGTAGTACCGTATCGACGTAGACATGTGGGGTGTGTTAGAACGAGCCGTTTTAGGTAGGCATGGATGACTCTTAATTTTTATAAAGAATATCTCTTTGGATTTGAGACTTTAGTCTGTGCAACTTTACAGATCTTCTTTATGCACCAAGAGCTTGTAACACTCCAAAGAGAAAGGAAAAATTGAAATCGCATCATATGACCCCTTTAAGATCTATATCACAGCAAACATGCCCATGAGAAGACTTTTTGCAATCTATGTGTGCCATGACAGTGCAACCAACAGATGGCACTGTGGTCTTACTTCTATTTCCATGTACACTTTAATTTCCAGAAAAATTGTGCGTGTTTATGATAGTGTGAATAGATCCATGCCTGCCAGTGCACCCTGCAGGAAAACCGTCTGTCGAGGTGATGAGAGGTCTGTCCTGAGAAACTGGATGAAGAAAGAGATGTAGGGAGAGAGGGATGGAGAGAGAGAGGGGTGGGGTGGAGAAAACAATACCAAACTGACACTGCATTGCAGGGGAGAAAGAAGAGAGTTAATGCATGTGTGCAGAGAATATGCAAGAGATCTTATTCTTCATCTAAAACTTCCAACTACAAGATCCAATTTTTTAGAAATTTTTTCATCCGTTTTGCAACACGTGGCTTGAAAAGGATTTGAAGGGATGGTTCACCTAAAAATAAAAATTTCCTTTCAAACCTGTATGACTTAATTTCTTCTGTAGGAAACCAAGGAGAGGTTTAGCAGAATGTTAGAGCTGTATTCACTCTGACTTTAAAAGTGGATATGGACCAGGGGCTGTCAAGTTCACTTTTATTGTAGTAACAACTTGGATGTTCTGCTAAACTTTCCCTTGAAAACAATACAAGTTTGGAATGATAAAACATTACTTTTTGGGTGAACTGTCTCTTTATAAGAAGTTCTGTAGAAGTCCTGTAGAGTCCATATTATAAGAGTGGAGAATTGAAGTGGATGTTGAATAAACACAAACACAATTCTGATTCTAGTTAGCCAAAATAGTCCTGTGTGTGGACTTTGTATACCTCCTGAATAGTATGTGAGAAATGTGTTTCCTGTGTGTGATTGACAGAGCATGAGGTCAGCCTGGACAGAGAGGTGCAGCTGGAGAGAGGATTCCTTATATGGGGATTCAAGAAGGTGAGAGAACACATGGTAATTATATTAGTGACTTTAATCAGGGTGACACATTTGGCTGATGCACCCCACCAAGCCCAATTTCCTGTTTCCCGCTCAATCATCAAGTTCCTTTTATACAGACATGCAAAACAGACACACTTTATGTGTGTATGCATTTGTATACATGTGTTTTATGTCTGTGTCTGTTTTAGGACCCTACAGATTTCGAGTGGAGTTTTTGGAATGAGTGGGCGTGGCAATCTCTTTTGTGGTCTTTGATTGGCCACGCTGTGCTGTCCAGATTGGCAGATTATTTTTTGCCTCGGGTAAATTTAATTCAGAACAAATGAACTCATCTAATGTTTGCATGTTTCATAATTTTTCCTTGTGCATTTGTATTACAGTTCCGACTGGCAGTCATAACGGTGTATGGCTTCCTCTCAGCTGGTTGGCTTCTCGAAGTGCGGGGCTTGACTGTCTTGATGCTGCATCTGAGCATCTCATTGGTGGTTGCTCAGCTACGTATCCCCATCCTCTCATGGTTTTGCTCCCTCCTGCTGCTCTCCGCACTCAATGTCACTGCCCTCCAGGATTTACAGGTGTGCGCTGTAAACCATGTATGTGAGGCACCAAATTTTCTCCTCCTCTAAAGCTGCAAAAAAGTGTCCAATTTAAAGGGTTTGTTCATCCAAAAATGAAAGACTGTCCTCATTTACTCACTTTCATGTAGTTCCAAGTCGTTATGGCTTTTTTTCTCTCTTTCTTGGAACACAAAAGGAGGTATTTTAATGATGTGCTGGTTGCTTTTTTCCATGAAACTATCAAGAACGATGGCTAGATCTTTCAAGCTTCAAAAACGGATGCAAAACCGCATAAAAGTATCATAAATGACTCCTGCACCATACTCAATATTCATGGGGGAAATAGCAATGCCTGATTTGAACAAATGTTTCTTTTGAATCAAAACTTTTCAGTCAGTTGCTTAATTTCAGGTTCTATTCAGTAGTGTTTGTGCGCCACACTCAGCGCTAGTTTAAGTTTTAGCAATTTTGTTGTTACTAAAATATTTCAAGTTTTTCATCTAATATTTATATATTTGTTTAATTTCAGCTTTATTTCAAATAACAAAAACAATTTTTAGTAGTTTTCCATTTTAGTTAATAATTACAAAACAGGTTGATTTTTGGTTGTAAAAACCATTCTAAATGGTTCATGCACAAATCGAACTGAATCATTCAACTCACTTCTTAAGTTAAAATCTCCATGGAGGTGAAGATTATTAGTGAATGACTTCAGTTTTGGTCTATTTCTCACACAAATCTGTTGTATGGCTTCAGACGACTTGAAATATAGAACATGAATCACATGCTGCAGTTTTATGTTGCTTTTGTGCCCTTTATTGAACATTTAAAACTTAAGTTCCCATTTGTTGTAACTGCATGTAAAAGAGTGACCAACACAGTCTTCAAAATTTCTCCTTTTGTGTTCCACAAAAAAGTAAGTCATACAGTTTTGGACCTTTATAACGATAAGTAAATGATTACAGAATTATTGTATTTGGTCGAACGACCTGTATCTCTTTCAAGCTATCTGTATTGATGGGGTGGGGTGTGAGGGATTTGTCCGGTTCAGGATCAGGAGTCTGTGCTGTCTCCAGGGCTCTCGGAGCACATCTGCAGAGCTCCGCAGAGAGAATGGAGATGAGACTGAAACAAGCCTGCATTAAATGTCACCATTCTCTTCACACAAACACAGTGACGCGTACACTCTCAAACAGTCTCCCAAGCAAACATTCAAAGTCAAACGTTTGCATGCACAACAGTGCTTGTGTATTTCCTTTTTCCTCACACAATAGATGTTATAACAGCACAACAAAAAGAGCCAGCTGACTCCCAGAAGGTCTTGTTTTTTGTTTGTTTGTTTATCTGCTTAGTCACTTGACACAGTGAATGATAGATTGACAGCTGTCATTAGATATCTGACTGAAGGGGAAAGCAACGAGATCAACAAGCTCGTGCCAATGGAGAGGAGGAAAGAGACGGAGGGAATATCGATCTGAGTGACAAATGAGTTCCCTCCTTGCCTGGAGTTTCTCCTTGATTAATTATTACACGGGCCCAAAGCTTCCCCTCTTAATTAAACCTTCATTTAATTATTATTTATTACTCAGAAGCAGTCATTAACATACCCATCTGAGGAACAAACAACTGTAATTCAATCTATTGTGATCTTTATTAGCTTTTTAATGATCTCTTTTTTCAGTACATCTCTGTTTACCTCAGTTACTTATGAGCTGTGAAAAACCCTCAGGAAGACAGCAATACCCATGTAGCCACCACAGAGATCGCCATAATGACATACAAAGGAAAAACAGCATCAGCCAGCGACTAATTTCAGAACGCTGCCCTGTCATTTAGTGTAATTTAGAGCTGGTTATAGCTTTATTTTTGAGTGGCGATAATGAGTTTTTGAAAGTGGCTGCTGCTGTGTCTCCTGGCTAGATGCCAGCTGTCATCTTCTGAGCATGCCCAGTAGATCATATTAGTTTAGTTTCGCCACAGAGGATCAGTGAATGCTGGTCTGAGGTGGAGTATTCTGGAAAGCTGTGGTTTAAAGCGGTTGTTCATCCCTTACACAGTAGCTTTGTAAACATTAGTCGGTCTAATATTATGGAGATGTTATTGCCCTCTTTATGAAATACAAAGGTGAATAATTAGACACGTTTGGATGCTTAAGTTACACTTAAGATCTCAGAGTGACATTGTATTGTATACAATATATCAAACGAAGTTTTAACCGGTCCCAAGCTGGATCTTTTAAGCTTTATAAAGTATGCAAAACCACTGTAAAAGAATCATAAAACTGCCATATGACTCGTTCATCATACTCCACATTAATGAGGGAATCAGCAATACCTGACTTGAATGAATTGTTCTTTTGAGTCAAATCTTTTTCAAATCTTTATCAGTTGATTCAAGTGATATTTTAGTATTGTTTATGTACTATTACAGTATTTATAAATATCTTAAATTAGTCCAACTAGGCTTCATTTTGAAGAATATGTGCATCGTTTTATAATTTCTAACAAGCTTGAAGAGTATGCCTAGTGTAAAAAATCCATGCAGCAGTTTTACAGGTGAAGTGTGTCCTTGCTGTCTCACTGATGGCATTTCCCACTAAAATTGGAAAAATAATGACTGTTTTGAAACATACAGAAACCCACAGAGCCCATAAAATAAGTTGTAATCCTGAATATAGTAAATTTATTTTTATTTGGGGATTTTGGCAGGAAGTTATTGAGGGAATGGCATCTGAATACATCAGGTCACTCTTTTTCTGTTTTTGTCATCAGGTTGCACAGTTGTGCCTTCTGCCTGTGATTTTCTTTTTCTATGAATTGGGTAGACTGTGGTCCTGCTTCACCAGTTCTGACAAGATTGTGTCTTCCTTTTTCTTTTTTGACACCAATGGCACCTCTGTCTGACGTAATAATAATAAAATAAAATATTAATAATTATTAAATAAAACTACAAAACAAGGTCTTCCTGCTGCTACCACAGAGGCATGTACAACCAATAGCACCAATTTACTAATTATACTTTTATTTCAGGGCCTGTTCACTGTCTTATGATCCAGTTTAGATTTACAGCCACTGATGTGTGGTTTCCTGATTAGTTTGTTAATTTAATTGTTTTTTCCCTCTGTTTTTATTTGTCTCTAGCGTGGTTGGTACACGTCTGAAGACCAGTACTACCTCTTGCTCTTTAGTACAGCCGTTTGTAGCTTGCGCTGCATTAGCTTTAGTCTGGAGCTGTGCTGGCACCCCCTGCAGGCCGGAGGACCAAACCACTGCTCCCATCTAGAGGAAAAAAGACTGAAGACTCTGATTTTTCAGTTCTACAAGCTCACTGCCTACTGTTTCTATCACCCCCTGTTTTACAATGGACCCATTGTGACCTACAGAGACTTCAGTGAACAGGTAGAAGAAAATGAGATTCATAAAAGGCTGCAGGGTCTGTGCTTTATCCAGATGTACTGTGAATGTCTTTCTCTGTCTCTGCAGATAGAGAGGCCGGTGTGTAAAGTCTCTGTGGTGTATGTGTTGAGTGGAATACTGCGTGTGTGTGTCTGGTGGTGTATAGCCAAATTCATGATCCACTTCATGTACATGCACGCCATCCAGAGCAACGAAACCTACCTGGAGATGCTGCCGCCCTGGGCGCTGGGTAAGTTTCTGGCTGCATATGAATTCATGGATTTTCATAGTATATATTGAATTTGATGAAGAATATCTCAACAGACTTTAGGGATGCATTTCCAGACATACTACATCTGCCATGTTGGCATTGTCCATTTGAAGTTTTTTGACCTATGATGTGCTAACAGTAACCACAAAGACAGTCTACGTGGGTGTTAAATAAATACGATATGTGACCCTTGGTAATTGACCCTTATGACTGGTTTTGTGGTCCAGGGTCACATATATTCAAAAGCTTGGGGTTGGTAAGATTTTTTTGTGATGTTTTGAAAGAAGTCTCTTAGGTTGTATTTATTTGATGAAAAATACAGTAGAAACTGCAATTGTGAAGTATTATTATAACTTAAAAATAACTGTTTCCTTTTTTAATATATTTTAAAATGCAATTTATTTCTGTGATGACAAAGCTGAATTTTCAGCAGCCATTACTAGTGTCCCTAGTGAAGTGTCACAGGTTCCTTCAAAAATTATTCTAATATGCTTATTTGGTGCTTGAGAAAAATGTATAATTATTATCAGATCAGTGTAGAAAAAGTTGTACTGCTTAATATTTTTGTGGAAACTGATACACTTTTTCAGGATTTTTTGATAAATAGAAAGAACAGCGTTTATTTAAAATTAGTGCTGTCAAATCGATTAATCACATCCAAAATAAAAGTTTGTTTACATAATATGTGTGTTATAACACGCATATATGTAATACATGTAATATATGTTTATATATATATATATATATATATACAGTACACATACAGTACAGTACACATACATATTATGTAAAAACTAACTTTTATTATGGATGCGATTAATCAACTTGACAGAACTATTTACATACATACATACATTAATATACATTTTTTTGTAGTATCTTTTTTGATTTATCTTTGGAGAATTAAAATATTGATTTCTTAAAAAAATAAAACTCACTGACCTCAAAAGTTTAAACAGTAGAGTATCCCTAAGTAACAACTTTCTACCTGCAGTGCTTACACTCGAAAATAACAACCCTTTTCAAATCCAATGGCTCCTTCCCTCCCGCAGTCTTATAGGATAAGTGTCCAGAATTTCATGTAGTACATGATATGAGATCTGCTGTATCATGAGTTTTTCAACATCTTACTTTTTTGACATACTGCTGTTTGCATACTGTGAAGCAGGGAAGTATGAATATTTGTACTCAGTGAGTAGTTTTTATCCAAATTATGTCTTTCAGAATGGATACAGTCTGTCATGGTATAACTTGTGTTATTTTGGGTGCTAAAGTGTTTATTACATTATTATCTTGCACAGATGTTCACAACGAAAACCCACACACACTCAGTTTCAGCCGTGTGCAGTATCTTAACTTCCACACTTGCTGTCTATTGATTTGTAGAAGTTGCTGATTTGTGCTGCCTGAACTTTGATTCAAAAACACAGACTCTGCAAGAGAGAGCGGTGTAGAGAGGGTCTATACAGCAAGAACATCAAGTCATTATCGCCAATTTGTACCTGTTTTGTACAGAAAGGGCTCGCAGAAATGCTGTCCTATTTTTTACAGGCTTTTAGCTCTGTACCAGTGGGATATGGGAAAGACAGATGCTGTTCTCAGTTTCCACTGACACACAGAAAGAGAGAAGCGAAGAGGGAGAGATGACTAGAGAGGATGAGGATGATCGAACTAAATTATGAAACCGTTCGGAATAAAACTGAAATCTGATATAAAACATCAAATCTGTGGTTCTTCTCAGCCAGAATGGGATGAAGGGACGAAATGAGCTTCACATACACTGCATGGCCAAAACTGTGACACCTGATGTGGCCAAACAGCTCTGTCATTTCAGATGTTTAAAGGGCAAATGTCTATGTGAGATCAAACACTTGGTCATCTGACCACTCTCTCTTTTTCACCTGCAGGTGGTTTGGCTCTTGCATTGGTCCAGTTTTTTTACATAAAGTATCTAGTCTTGTTTGGAGCGGTGTCTCTGCTTGTCAGACTCGATGGACTGGAGCCGCCAAAGTTACCACGCTGTGTCAGCATCGTGTACAGCTTCACTGGGATGTGGAGGTAAATAAACACACACTTCTGTGTTCTGTCAAACCTTAAAAAGACTTTATAGAGCTGGACTGGAATGATCTTGAAGCGATTCAGTCATCTCCTGCAGTATATCTGTGTACCAGCAGGGTGCAGAGCTGCACTGCATTCACTATAATTGATTTAAGCCGTGAAACGATTGACACAATGGTATAAGACTCACTTACACCCATCTACAAGCACATTACAGCAGCATAACAAGATCCATGCTTTCTGTTTAATGTCACAAACATCTTGCCTCAAACGTATGGAATTGAGTGTTCGACTTCTCTGATGGAGATTAGCGCTCTGATGTCTCATGAGATGATGTAGAACAGGCTCATACACGAAGGCTTCCTCTTAGACGATTGGATTTTACACTAAAGCTTGAAAGCTTGTTGAAGATATGCAGCATTTTAACTTCAGTAGTCTGGAATGGTCTCCTAGGCAACCAACACCAATCTGGAAACAGAAGTGTTTTCGATTTTCTGATATTTTTTATGTCTGTTTTTTCATCGCACTCTTTAAACTTGGTAAAATACACACACTACTACTGATTTATTGCCTTACTTTAATAAATCCATAGTGTCATGTGCAAAAGACTCAACTCTAGTTAAATAATAATAATAATTACTGAAATACGGTTCAAATGTTTGGGGTCAATACGGTTTTTTATTGTTGAATGCTGCACCAAGGCTGCATTTATTTGTTCAAAAATACAGTAAAAACATTTAATATTGTGAAACATTACTATGATTTAAAATAACTGTTTTCTGTTCGAATATATTTTAAAAAAATAATTTATCCTTGTGATGGCGAAGCTGAATTTTCAGCTGTCATTACTCCAGTCTTCAGTGTCACATGATCCTTCAGAAATCATTTTAATATGCTGATTTGCTGCTCAAAAACATTTTTATGGAAACCATGATACTTTTTGTGGTGTACTTTTGATCATTTTAATGCATCCTTGTGGAATAAAATAATTAATTTCTTTAAAAAAAGAATTTTACTGACCCCAAACTTTTGAATGGTAGATGCAAATCTTCCCACATAGTGAGGTAGATATGTGGGGGCGTGTTAGAACGAGCCGTTTTAGGTAGGTGTGGTTGACTCTTATCTTTTATAAAGAATATCTCTTTGGATTTGATACTTTAGTCTTTGCAACTTTACAAATCTTCTTTATGCACCAAGAGCTTGTAACACTCCAAAGAGAAAGGAAAAATTTAAATCGCATCATATGACCCCTTTAATATACAGTATATATAATGTTGCATTTACAATAGTTATTTACTACAGTATTAACCACCACTGCCAAAAATTAAATATCATGACAGAAAAATTCTGAAAGTGTATTAAACTATTTGAAGGAGATTCGTTAATTTATCATTATTTTACAAAAGTAAAAACAAAATCTAGCTTTAATAACTTAACAAACTATATTCCCTAATAGTTTTTGTAAGTATCTACTTCATAAAGCCAATGGTTGTCAGTTAATTTTCGTAACCCATCGTCATGCAGATCGAGTGACACTATCTTCTGTTTCCTGTGTGACCGTGCATGTTTTGTGTATATCAGCAGATCTGCGCTGCAGACAGCTGCTGAAGCTCTGAGAGCCGGAATGGTTAAGCACCAGTGTGTGTGTCTGAGTGGTGTTGAAGGTGATGGAGTTTAGAGTGTGATAAATGAGAGCTGTAAGGAAACAGACGTATGCCGGAGATTTTAGCAGGACCTGCTGTAAGACCCCGTCTGGCTTCAATCCCACACGGAGAGACAGAGCTCAGCTCCTCTGGACCCGATGGAGCACAAACACACTCAGCATAGCCTCAACACACTCACACACACTGATATACTTCGAAACCCCACTCACATGCTCATCTCTGTGTTTAATGGCTCAGAACCGCCGGATGCAACATACCAGGTGGAGACAGTACCCCATACTGCAGGACAGCAAAGTCTCTGATTACAGTGCAAATGTCCTGCAGGGAGCGAACGAGATTGAGAACAACAGAGAGAGAGAGAGAGAGAGGGAGGCTGAGATGTTGCTCTTGGCTGTAGTTAAATCTGGCTATTGCTGTTTGTGTGTGTGCATGTGTCTGCACACACGTGCGTGGATGTGTAAGTATTGCTGTGTGTGCATGTGTGTGATTTAGTACAGTCACTATCATGGACTGGGTTTACGGTGGTTGAAAGGTTTATGGGTTGCTATAAAACACTTTTCATTTAGTCTGGCATCAACACACACACACACTCTATACCATTTTGCTGACTCCTGCTTATAGCTATCTGATTACTCTCAATGGATCTATTGTTTTTATGGGTCAGTGACACAAGGCTATTATTTCCAAATATAATGAAAGAGTTAATTTGGCATTAAGTCAAAATTTGTTGTCTTAATGCACATTTGTGGTCTTATTGTGAATAATATTCAAGCATGCATTAATTTGTTTTTATAACATTTCTTTAACTTGTTATTGTTAACTTTGACCCTAAGCCAAAATGTCATAAATGGCATGTTTGATAGCCATTTAATTTCTAAAGTGAAATTCATTTAGCTATTTTTTGGGGAGGTATAAAGTCAAACAGGATTATACCGCTGTCCTGATGCCATGATGAAGAAAAAAGCCTCATTAAAAAATTCTAAAGAAATTCTTAAAATCCTTCAGTAGTTTAACAGAATTACGAGAAATGTGCAGTGGAAAAATAACAGGAATAATATCATAGAGAGAACTTTGTGTCAAGGACAGTAAGTCTCTTAAAATGTCTCATAATTTTACATTATTAAGCCAAGGTTAGATTGTGAAATTTCATGTGTGACTCACTAAAAACATAATCATGAATTAATAATTCATGATCCTTCTAAAACTATACTTTTACCTTGGATAAAAAATTATTTTAAAACTTAAAAAAAAAAAAAAGATAAATAAGTGTTCTTGAAAAATGTAAACCCCATATGAAACCAATATGAATACAAAAAATACATTTCTAAAAACTTGATCTCTAGATGTCTACAAAGACTGAATTTCTAAAGATGTTTTCCCTTTTCCTTCTTTTTCTTTATTGTCATTGATCCTTATACCAAGCTAATAAATAACATTTTCTGTCCTTTGTCCCTAAACAGCTCTCACCCATTTTTAGATTTTCATTAGAACATTGTGTAGTATGTTTATTGATGCATTTTCCTCATGGGGACCGTTAGCTGGTCTTTTACTGTCCTTTTTACTATAGACATTAGGTCTCTCTCACACACACACATACATGCAGTGAGAACAAGACCAGGTTTTATGCTGATCTCCATTCTCTTCATCATCTCACCTATAGTTTAGCGGGATCATGAGGAAAACACTGTCTGAGCTGTGAGAAGTGCTTACAAACTGTTTCCTTCAGGCCTGCTTTTTTAGATGATGTATAGAGTAGAGAAGGCATATCTGATGGAAACAGCAGGATATTGAGTGAGTCTGTTCCAATGTGCATCTCGCTTTCAGCTTCATGAATCACCATCTGACTCACACAGCTCATGAATGACACCAGACGTGAGTTTGTTCTCTGCGTCTGTTTTAATAGCGCCTTGTTTACGTGCCACACGCATCTAGTGGAGTCAAATTGCCAATTCAGAGGGAATGTGTTGAATTGAATAGAATGGCAGATTCTAGCTGTGGTGCTTTAGGCCTGAAATATACAAACAGGCTGTATTGTAGTGTTTTCCCAACCAGGAAAATTGGCTTTTTACAGTCATACCAAAATTTATTCAGACACCTTCAACATTTCTCACATTATATCACAGTTTATTCACTATAGTTTAGAAAATGGTAATAAAATATGACAAGAACTCAGAGTTAAACTGTGTCAGAACAAAGTCATCTTGATAATGTCAGATAACTTGATAGAAAGGTATGTAATGGATTGCAACCAACCAAAAAGTATTCAGCTGTTAAATTTAAGTACACAATTAGATAATACCAATTTAGGTCAACCAATTACCAAGCTATGCTTAATTTTGTTCAGTGTGGTGTAAAAAGTTCACATTAGCAATTAAAGAAAAAACACTTAAGCAAAACATGGTCAGGTCAAAGTGTCTGAATATTTTTTGATCCCAAATTTTACTGGTAGTCTACTGTATGAAGAATTTTTGGGTATAATATGTCACAGTTCACTTTGCTATCCTCACTTACATTTATGAACTATAGTGTCCTGCGCCCACTAGTAAAAAAATATCCAAAATTATATCTGGTTATATCAAATTTTTGGTTTGACTGTAGATTTATTAAACCTATAAAATAGAAAAAACTGTCAAAATGGCTAATTGTGATTCAGTTCCTTTTTAAGATAAGAAAAATTGTGTATTCAGGTTTTTAAATGTATGTGACCCTGGACCACAAAACCAGTCATAAGTAGCACAGATATATTTGTAGCAACAGCCAACAATACATTGTATGGGTCAAAATTATAGATTTTTCTTTTATGCCAAAAATCATTAGAATATTAAGTAAAGATCATGTTTCATGAAGATATTTTGTAAATTTCCTATCATAAATACAGTTGTGCTTGTGCTCATAAATTTACATCCCTCATTACATAAAATTACATGCTTATTACATTTACATGCAGAATATGCAAAATGTTAATAATTTTAACAAAATAAGAGGGATCATGAAAATTGCATGTTATTGTTTATTTAATACTGTCCTGAATAAGCTATTTCACATAACATATGTTTATTTATTCTCCACAAGACAAAATAATAACTGAATTTATAAAAAATTACCCCGTTCAAAAGTTTACATACCCTTGAATCTTAATACTGTGTGTCGTTTCCTGGATGATCCACGACTGTCTGAATGCATTTTGTTGCCTTCTTGAGCATCAGTAAATGTTTCCACGTTTTGTAATAGCTGTTTATGAGTCCCTCAATTGCCCTCAGTGTGAAAAGATGGATCTCAAAATCATACAGTCACTGTTTGAAAGGGTTCAAATAAGGAGAAAATGTTGGAAACCAAAGAATGTGCAGGAGCTGGAGGATTTTTCTGAAGAACAGCAGACAGTTGAACTGCTCAGGTCCAACAAGGGACTCATGAACAACTATTTGTGGTCCAGGGTCACATATTTGTGTGGACTTTTACGGCTTGTGGCATTTTTTAAAACTTTAATAATGATTTAATGATAATAAATGACATAATTTGATTTAATATTTATTGTTTGGTGTTCATAAAGAGCTTGAACCTAACTGATGGTAATGACAACAGTTTACAGTAATTGTTTGGTATGAATGATCCCTTTTAAGTATGTACAACAAAATGCATTGGCCAAACATTTGCGTAGTGTATTTCCGGACTTAAACGGAAGAGACAAGCACAACTGCATGCCTCCACATAATGTTTTATTAATATAGAGTGAAATTACTTCTGCTTTATCTGTTCTCCTGGCCTTCCCGGATGACTTTATTTCCCCAGAGTTGAAGCAGATTTCATCAATAGTTGATAATGAATGCTGGGAAGTGCTGGAATGAATCAAACGATCCTGGACAATCTGATTTAGGTGTCATTATGTATCGTAGACCCCAGACCCAATCCATCCCCCTCCAGACACTCTATGCCTTTGTTTTGTCTCTCTCTCTTTCTCTTGCTCTCCCTTTCCAGATGGATATTTTTGCGGCACTGAAGGTTTTGATAGTTTCTGTTGGCTCATGAAAACTTCATGTCGGGGCTTTCTGTCATGTTAGCAACCATCTGCTTGCACGTGTCCGTTTCTCCTCATACAGGCCTGTTTTTAGAAGCTCTTTACTGCTGTCTCTGGGGTCTGGGTGTATTTGGACTCAGAAAGCGACAGACTGAACTACATATGAAAGCCTTATGGCCAGAAAACCGTCTGTTGGTGTCAAATTCAGATTGTGTGTTTGCTCTAATTGGATGAGATGATGGAGATATTCATAACTCTGTCCACTCACTCATCCATTTAGTTCTTTTCACTGTGAATTGTAAAATGAACATTTTGACCTGTCTATCCATTCACCCGTCCTATCCAGCTGATCAATAGCAAATAGCATTATGTCAGGATAAAGGAAGGGGGATGAAATGTGGATAGATGGATGACTAGAAGTTAAAGTGAGGATAACAATAAGAGAAACTGTGGCTATAGTGATGACCTGATGACTTCTGTTCACACCTGCTCAGAGGAACAGGAGGAAGAGAAAGTCCTGCCGAGAAACAAATTGAGTTACAAAGGGCCAAATCAATATTTTTGCTGTCATGATGGTTTGATACGAGCTACATGTCAAAGGGCAAAATAGAAACCCTGTGTGATTAGTGAAACAGAAAAGAACACAGTGTGACTTTATATTGTTTGTTAGAAACATACAGTATAAAAAGCTGAGATCCAAACCTGCTAGAAGTGTAGTTTCTAAAGATCAATCTATTTTTGTGAACTGTATTTATTTAAATTAATTTCAGTCCAGTTCAACATGATTTATTTTTATTTTTTTATTTATTCTAATTGATTGAATTGATTTATATTTATTTTTAATTTTATGCTGCATATATTTATGTATCTATATTGATAGATTTTTATAATTTTTATTTCTATTATTATTTTTAATAATTTCTATTTTTATTATTAGTAATACTTTTTAATAGTTTTAATATCACGAAATAATTAGGACTTTATTTACTATGTTTACCGAGACATTTTCCTCATGTGGACCATTTACTTGTATAGTGAATGTATTTATATTTTTTATTTTATTATTATAATTTTTTATTTATTAAATTAAATTAAATTTAAATTAATTAATATTTTTCTAATAATTTACATTTTTAACATTTTACATTTTTTTCATTGTTTTATTTCTTACTTAAAAAGAGCTATGTAGTGACTACAACATCCATATAGACTTGCAGATTCGCTCTTGATTTGGGCCAGTAAAAATCCTAGCAACCCCAGCAACCACCCAAAACACCCTAACAACCACATGGCAACATCCTAACAACCACCTGACCTGTGACACACTAGCATTGTGGTGGCAAGTACATCCTCTCACTCACATTTCCTTCTGAAAATGTACAAATAGAGTTTCATACGACTGCATGAATATTGTCTCTGCCTACCAGATCGAGCAGCGGGTGTCCCAAACCTGCCACAAAACCCAGTGTTAGACTACAGCTCAACTAGACAAACGGCAAAACTGTTCTGGGATCAGCCGCTTTGAGAAAATGTCTCCCAGCGCTACGGCTGTCTCACCAAATGCCAGCGTTTGTCCCCAGAGATTCATTAAAATGGTTTCCTCAAGCATCTCATTTATGCAGATTCTCTTCTCTTTTTATCTGTTCTGTGTGTTGACTGATTAAACACATGTTTGTGTTGTGTCATGTTCTACAGAAGTGTGTGTGTTACCTCAAACCATCTGTGTTTAACCCCTGAGCTCACTCATTACTGTCTTTTGCTTTTCAGACACTTTGACGTGGGGCTTTACAAATGGCTCATCAGGTACGATTTCTCCATTTCTTCTTCTTTTGTGTGGGTGTGCGAGAGGGAGGGAGATATTTTGCACTGCTATGGACACGGTTATCTCTTGTTGCAGATTGAAAAGCACATGAATAATAATCATAATCAAAAGCCATAATCACTAGAACAATTACACGTTTCTGCTACATAAAAAACGGACATTCTTGCATCTATTTCCTTTTGTTCTTGTTAGATTTGAATGTTTTTTTTTCTGCTCTCTTAATTTTTAGGAAATTTACTGATATATAATACAAAGATGAAACCTTTTCTGATGTTCATATTTAGCAGCAACATCACTTTTTTAAAATAAGTTTTAACAGCAAAACCATTTAAGCTGGTGCATTAGCATACTTAGCTGAAGATGAAAGCAAAAATTATGCAATTATCCTTCAGAAAGAAGAATGTTGCTGTTGTCGCATTGTTAGATGTGCTTTAAGCCATTAAGGTAAAGTTTCTTAATGCACTTATGATATGTGACAATGTGATGCACAGATTTGGCGCAGTGGGAGAGACTCACTCTACACACTTAATAGCCCTGTAAAGAAAATAATCGAACCAAATGACTCATTTACATTTAAATATACATGCAAATCAGTTAATTATATATATATATATATATATTGGCTCAAAATGATCCAATTTTATGCAGATGAGCTTCATAATAGGGTGTGTTCCACACACTCAAGCCATCGCTGTTACTGCGAACTGGCAGCCTATAATGAACAGTTTTTATTTCAGCAAGACACAATGGATAAATTTGGCACTGGTCATGATTGGTCACCCAAGAGTCCAGAAGCACGGCTCAGCTCAGTCTCTCTCGCCGCCGAAAATGTTCTGCTGTTTGATTTCAAGTTTTTTTTTTTTTTATAACAAGTAGTTCTCATTTATGCCAGAGAGCATTTGCTTTTCTGTGATTTGATTTACACTCTGACAATAGGCGGAATATGATGAATATTGTAATTTGGATGGATTTAGCCTTGCTAAAAACAAAAAAAAATTTAGAGTTGTGACATTTGAAATACAGCCACTGAATGTTTCCACAAAATACCTGATACCTCAGAATAATATTAGCCATAAAAATAAACAGCTGTTTGTCTGTGAAATGTTTGTAGAGTCTGTTAAATATGAATATATTGCATAACAAATCATGCAACACATTCTGTAACATGTAATATTACAGAATTTAGAGAATTTATATATTATTACAGAATTTATATATAAATGTTTTATGTACGGTCACTTTCCTGGCAGGAAATCAGACAAATGATTCTTCAGAGCAGCTGGACAGATGTCTTCAAGCCGCCACTTTTGCTTTAATGATATTTTTCTTTTTGTATAAATACTCTCAGGGACTGGAATAGGTTGATTCAGTAGGGAAACCCTTCAAAAAATAAAAAATAAAATAAAAACCTCTTGAGGTCCTGGCGTAACCTTGTCTGCTCAGCTGTTGCATTTCCTGACACAGTTATTCATATTCTAATGTCCTCCAGCTGTATGGAGAGGTAATTGTGGAGGTTTTGGAGAGAGAGAGAGAGCTCAGGTTGTGTTTTCGTTCAGTGTTTGGTATTGTCAGTCTTTGGCAGGGCTGCGATCTCCACAGACAAAAGATGTTTGATCAGGGTTGTATTAGCATGTATTTAACACGATGAGCATCTTATTCTATCTCATGCTGGAAACTCGCCAGTTTGTGTGAATATGTGCATTGGAAATGAATGTTACATGTGATGCTGCTTGGGCCAATAACACAGACCCAAAAGTCCATAAATATTTAATATTTAATTTTTAGAATATCAGGGCAAGTGACAAGACACTATGCGTCTTGTGCAGATTTCAATGATGTTTACAAAGAAAGACGACTGAGAAGAATTAGTAAATATTATCAGCCTGAGACCAATTCTGGCCCATCACAACAGACAGCAAATATTCATGCACTATATGCATCACAAATGATAATAGGGATGCATGTTATATCTGTACTAAATTGGTTATGTAGGGCCATATGAAATATTAAATTTTTTTTCCAAATTTTGTTTTATTTTTTCTCAAATTCTGCGATTTTTTTTGTTTGAATTTTTTCTGTACTTTTAATGACTTAATTAAATTTTGTATATTTGGATATTTTTATTCTCTCATGTTCTGCTACTTGAATTTTTGCTTAATTTCGTCCGTTTTTACTTTTATATTACCTTTGACATCATCTAACACTCACCTAAAATCAATTTAAAAAAATAATAATATAATAACCCTGTTAAATGCAATCTGTAGCAAATCTCAAAATTAATATCCATTTTTCATGCTGTACATTCTGTTGTGATGCATAAATTCATGTAACATTTCACTTTTTAGTGTTTTTTTTTTCAATATATTTAGACTAAATTGTATAGAATTGAATATTGGCCATATTTTTTATATAATTAAAGGCAATAACATGAAAATATTTTTTGCTTTATAGGTATCAATCAAAATTTTAATAGTAAATAAATCTTCAACACTTGTTTAATTTTAAGGTAGTTAAGATCTGTATTCCCCCCCCCCAAAATGTAATTTTATAATTTGTTTAACCTAACCTAACATCCTAGTTTTTGTAGCAGACCTGTGAGGAGACTCATTTTCAGACAGATAGCAGAAGCTTCCAGCAGTGGTAATACAGCACAAAGAGCTGCTATATATATTTCCCGCCCAAATGGGAAGTGTCCCATTGCTCCCTGAATCCCACTAATCAGAAAGCTGAGAGTGTAAGCACTTCCATACTTTCAAGTGGGAATACTGAGTTTGAATTTGAGTATGTTCAGTATTGAGTATTTTGAGTAACCCCTTCATTGCGAACAGAAAACCAGAAACATTTCCATCTCTTCCTGACCGTATCTTCTCCATCTCTCTCTCTCTCTCTATCTCTCTGTTAAAATGTGTAGTGATTGCAGTGTGGCAGAGAGAGTTGATCTGCATAATTGGAGTGTGAATGTGGGCTGTGTGTGTAAGCGAGTGTTGTAAAGTGCATTTGGAGAGATCTTAATGTGCTTTTAAATGTGCAGTAATTGTGAAGAGCTGAGTTTTGGAGTGTGGAGATGTGGGAGAGGATCTTCACTCTCCGTTTGTGTGACTCACCGCTGATCTTAAAGCATCCACAGACACACGCCACGCACCCCTCCTGCCTTGCTATTGTCTGCTTGAACGCCTCGCTTTCAGCCTGTTGAGTGTCATCTCCTGTCTATTGAAATGTGCTCACAACAATCAAATCACAGACGCAGTTCATATGAGCTTATATAAGGGCGAGAGAGGGCTGAGATTAAACAGCGGTGGCCACAGAGGCAGAACGAGGCCTTATTGTTTCTGTTCATAATGAAAATGTGCTCATAAACACTTTTCTCAGCAGGGCAACGTCTACGCTTGGGCTTTAAAAAGTGCATTAACAAAAGAAACAGAAACCAAACGCAAGATCCACTAGTATTGCAGGGTAAATCTGTACTAAAAATGTACCATGGTGCCAAAAAATGTACCATGTTACTAATGATGTCACTACCATACCTGGATGATAATGTGTTCAGTTCAGGAAGCGTGGCATGAATTAAAAGTTAGGGTGATTCATTAAATGGGATTTAAGTGCATTAATCTGAGTTTGACATTATAATTGTTTCATTTTGTAATTTATTTGTAAATCAACTGCAAATGGGATGTTTAACAAAGAAAGATTACTTCCACTCTTTCTGTAGCAGAACATAATTATCACAAAAGCCAGTAGTATGAAATCATGCATTTTTTAAGAAATTGGAAAGAATATGAGGCAACAGTGGCAAAAACATGTTTGTTAAATATGTAAGTAAAGTTTGGGGGAAGATGTTACACTCTTAAAAAATAAAGGTGCTTCACGATGCCAAAGAAGAACCTTTTTGTCTAAATGGTTCCATAAAGAACCTTTAACATCTGAAGAACCTTTCTGTTTTACTAAAGGTTCTTTGTGGTGAAAGAAGGTTCTTCAGATTATAAAAAGGTGAGAAAGAGATGGTCCTTTAAAGAACCTTTGACTGAATGGTTCTTCTATCCCATCGCTGAAGAACCTTTTAAGCACCTTTATTTTTAAGAGTGTATATTATTTATTGCAAATTTATATGGATGGAGTTTGTAAAACAGAATGCGTGTGAGCGCTATTGCAGAAATATATCCCTTTCAGATGTCTGTAAACAATATGTATAATGCATAAATAGTATTTTGTGTGTGTGTGTGTGTTGTATATATTCCAAGTTTCATTTCATCATTCACTTAAGGCTGTTTAGGTGTCAACCAAGGTATTAGTTTAGTCCAGATGCCAAGGTAGTAGGTACCAAAAGCTTCTATCGCACCAAATTCAAATTTTGGTATCAATCCAACCCCACTGACCAGTCTAATCAATTGCCATGATGTTAAAGCGTTTTTAAGAATATTATATTATTTATATATTACTAACAGACAATTGAAGATTTTTACCTCCAGATAAGTGTCTATTCAGAGGTTTTTGAGCTTTTAGAGTGATGGTTTCTTTGTGTAAGTTTAATGAATGTATGTATATTGGAATATAATTACAAACTAAGAGACACGTTTGCCTAAACACTCTAGTGTTTATTTTTGTCAACTAATTTAAAGAGCCAGTCACACAAAACGCTTTGTTCTGTAGACTTCCATTGATACACATTTGAATGTAGGCGAGCAGAAACACAAGCTCATGCGAAAGTTTAAATTTTTTTTGCGTTCCAAAGTAGTGAACTCTAACCTACAAATTTATATTACATATTCAATAGAAGATCAATAACGTCACGGCGTGACCTCGTAGCTGAATTAAAAGAACATACATTTAAAACTGAGATGATCTTAAAATATTATAGGCCTACATGTATTTGCCTTCACCATTGAATAAAACGGTTAATTTTTACAGACCCCAAACTTTTGAATGGTAGCTTACAGTATATGCTTAAAAAAATTGCCAATGGGGAAAATAATAAAAAATCTTTCACATTATCACATTTCTTAAAATTTCTCATAGTACAGTAAGTTTGTTTTGTTTTAAGGATGTTTGGATAATTTTACTGGAAAACCAATTCAGAGCGTAATTTTGCTTCTTTCTGATTAAAAAGACAATGAGCCCTAACAAGCCCTATCAATAAACCATCAGTAAGTCTAATCAGCGTATCAGTGAATCTACAAAAACCCATCAATCCTATTAGGCGTCCTATAGGGGAGAAACAGACCCATGAATGTTGAAGAATAAAAATAGAAGAGCAGAGTTTTTTAAGTGCGATAAAATAAAGCACAGTTGATCTTCTTTTCTTGATCTCTACACACGCTGTCAGCTGGAGCCGTGGTCAGGGGCTAATCTTATCCTCTTCACTATCTCCCTCACACACACAGATGAGTCAAGTCCTCCACTATCCCAACAGCCTCATTAGAACAGATTGGTGCTCTCTCAGCCCTGAAATGGAAACTCTACTATACTGCCGTCGAGAGAGATCGGGTTTAGTTCAGAATTCTCTCTCTCTCTGCTGTCTGTTATCACTGTGAGGGGAACGGTGGCAGTTTTACAGACAGTGTCATCTGAAGACACTTTTTTTCTCTTTTTTCTCACATTTGTCTAACAGACAATTGTGGTCCACGTGATAAAAAATGGCTTAATAAACATTAAAGGGGTCATAAAACTGAGAAATCAAAATTCCCTTGATCTTTTGATATATTAGAGGTCATTGTGCTATAAAAACATTCTGTATGTTTCAGAACTCAAAACTTTCTCATTAGTCTAAAAACAGCTTCTATTGAAGCCAATCTGCCAAAACAACAGGTTGTGGAATGTGCCATTTTATGACGTAATAGTGTGGCTAAATTCCACCTCTGCAGAAGAAGATCAACGCCTGCTTCTACATCACTGCCTGTTTAGCCCCGCCCACCAATTTGTGCACGTAGTAGGTATATGACAAGAGCGACAAATGCAGGTCTACACAGAAACCAAACGATAAACTTTATTTGATGAACTTTATTTTTAATGAAGTTCCAGACCGTGTCAGTAAGAACTCGGTCCTTTGTTCACTTCATTTTAACGCGGATTCGTTTACAAACAAGGCATAATTTAACGCAGGATTTTCAGAAAGATTTAAACTAAAAGACGATGCTGTGCCGACTATATTGGATCCTACAGTAATGTCGCAACACACAAGTGTGAGTAACTGTTTTTATTACATGATCACTATTGCTTTGTCTGTTATTACAGATCGTTTGATATGAGTATTTATGCGTTTTTAACCTAAATCACAGCAGCATCCATCTATGAAGGATGAAGGCTTTCAAACACACAACTCTTAGCCAATCATAGCAGTGTACAATCCGCCACACCTATTCAAACAGAGCGTTCTGATGAGGGGGGTTAAAACAGGACATAAAATAGCCTATTACTTTTAAATTATGTTTTTTGATGTAAAAATCTTGATAACATTATAAGTGCACCACAGAGAACAATACAAAATAATGAAAAAAGGCCGTTCATGACACCTTTAAACAATGCAGTTGTAAAAATGCAAAAAGGTTGTTTGGAGGATGCAAACTATCATTACCTAAATATTAAAACAATTTTTGATTGTTAATTGTCAAACAAGTCTTTAAAAGAAAACAGCAACTCTTGTTTTCAACATACAATTTTTCAGTAGGCCATATTTTTGCTGAGCATGTGTGTTTGTATGTGTTTTTAGGTACATATATGTGCCATTGGGCGGCTCTCATCACGGTGTGTTCCGGAAACTCGTCTCCACAGCGCTGGCGTTTGGGTTTGTGTGTTTCTGGCATGGTTACCATGACTACCTGCAGTACTGGGCCGTGCTGAACTGGGTTGGGGTGTTGGTGGAGAACGTTCTCGCACTCCTCTTTTCCGCTCGTCCTCTTCATCACGTTATTGTGAGTTCACACAATCCCTCTCAAGTTATCAGCTTTAAACAAAGTTCAGTGTTTATAATGAAGTAAGGTCACTAATAAATACCATGCTCTTTTGATCTCGTCTTAGGTGCGTTGTCTGTCACCTCGGATGCAGAGGCATGGCCTAGCGCTTATCTCCGCCCTCTCCACTGCTTTTCTGATTCTGTCCAATCTGTTTTTTCTGGGTGGGATCCATGTGGGCAGAATCTTCTGGAAGAGGGTGTTTGTCGAAGGTGGGTCATTTAAATGTGTGCACTTTCTTACATACCCTTGTGAAAAAGAAGTACGCTTTTGCATACTTTCAAAAAGAGTAGCCTACTTGTTATGGAAATATTATACTTTCAAAAAATATTCTTAAATGTGAATTGAATGTAATGTTTTTAGGCATTTAATTTTTGAATAATTTGCTGAAAATGTGCTTACCATCAGGCCATTCAAGATGAGTTTGTTTGTTCAGTGGAATAGATTTAGAGAAATTTAGCATTACATCCTTTGCAGTGAATGGGTGCCGTCAGAATGAGAGTCCAAAAAGCTGATGAAAACATCACAATAATCTACAAGGAATCAGTTAATGAAGTGAAAAGCTGTGTTTGTAAGAAGCAAATCCATTATTAAGGTTTTTTAATTTCAAACCATTGCTTCTGGCCAAGATAGCAGTCCATAATAGCAGTACTTAACATGCTTTAGTATGTTAATCAACACATCAAAATAAATGTACTTGACTAAAGATTATTAAAACATAATTAAAAAAAAGAACATTTAAAGTTAAACTCTGAAACTCTTTAACACTTTTTTAAAGTGTTTTAAAGAAACAGTCATTAAAGTGACACTTAAGTACACTTAAATGGCCTTTTATTACATTAATATGTTATCTGCAAGTACTTTTTTAAAATATATGCTTTTTTGCACTACAAGTGCACATTCAATACAATTAAGCACTTTTTTTACAAGGGTAGAGAGACATTCACACATGTCATCAGTCAGATTTATTTCCCCTCAATCTGTAACTGCTGACAAGTCAACCACAGCTGCTGACAACGTGTTTTTAAACTCTGGGAATGTGAAAGTTTTCAACCTTTTAACGTTTTGTGGGTCATGTTGAGGCAGTAATTCAGAAAGAAAGCTGTAGTGATTTGATGCTGTAATGTAATGATGTGGGACAGCCTGTCATTTCATCCCAGATCAGACACAAAAGTGAGGAAATGAATTCATTCTGAAGTGCTCAGAACACATTTTGTGTTGGAGAAGAGCTGAGTCGCTGTTTTGTGGTGCATATGAGATGTTACGAATGATTTTGTAAGATTGTTTGCAGGATTGGAGTGGTTTGTTATTATGAATTATTATGCTTTTTTAATATACAGTGGAGTATAAAATTCTGAACGTTGATGATTGAAAATTGATTATTAAAAATCTAATTGAATAAACAATTGTAGAATTTTGAGAAAATTAAAACCAAGAAATGTTATAACATAAAATAAAGAGAAATTATAACATAAAATAATAAATTATTTTTTGGTCACTAATCAAGTAAGTAGATTTGAGACACTGATTGCATAGACAGTCAGATGTTTTTGCTTCTGTAAACTTGTAAAGTTGATCATAAATTGTATGAAATCATTTGGGAAAAGTCTTCACAAACTGCTTTAGGATCATGCTGGTAGCATTTAATGCCAAATGAAGCACCAGTGAGCATCTGGACATTTATCTTTAAAGAGCTATAGAGAGAGAAGTGTGAAGGCCTTTTGGAAAGATAAAAGCAGTTTGAATGTCTCTGGAAGTTTCTAGAAGCTGCTCTTCATCCATTTGCCACCAGGTACCATGAACACCACAGAGTCTTAACAACGGTCGCCATGGAATCATTCATTCTTGACATCTCTGAAAGGTAGCCATGCTGATCCCACCCACCCCCTGCAGCAGCAGCTGTCAGTCAGACGCTGACGGAAAGGTTTTGTGCCGCTCAGTTAGAGGCAGGAGGAGCTGCAGGGTACAGAAAAGCTCAGAGAGAGATCTGCTGGGCACAGAAACTCACAGGACCCTTATTCAGTCATTTATTCATTTCATTCTCCGTTTAATATAGGAACCAGATCATAGTACTTTAGTTACATTTAATTAGCTCCCTTAAGTCAGTTTTGTTAGTCAAACTTGCAATTTTTATAAAAAAATGTTTTGGTTTACATGATTTGAAGAAGGTTGTCTTACATTTCAGTATTGTCACGGCATTGTCACGAGCGATCTGCACCTGCGCCTGGAAAACAAACACAGAGTGGCATGTGTGAACAGGAACATATGTGTAAAAATACTGACTGAAAATAATCCCAAAAGCTAATCAGATTTTCACAAAGAGAATCCAATCAATCAAATGAGACAAAAATATGTTCTTTGTCATTTATTTATTCAGGAAAATTATCCAATATTACATATCTGTGAGTGGCAGAAGTATGTGAATCTCTAGGATTGGCAGTTAATTTGAAGGTGAAATTAGAGTCCATCTGTTTTTCAGAGTTGTTTTCAATCGGTGAGATGACTATCAGGTGTCAGTGTGTGCCTTGTTTTATTTAAAGAACAGGGATCTATCAAAGTCTGATCATGTTTGTGAAAGTGTATCATGGCATGAACAAAGGAGATCTCTGAGGACCTCAGAAAAAGAGTTGATGTTGCTCATCAGGCTAGAAAAGGTTACAAAAACATCTCTAAAGTGTTTTGACTCCCCCAATCCACGGTCAGACAGATTGTGTACAAATGGAGGAAATTCAAGACCACTGTTACCCTCCCCAGAATTACTATCAGGTGTCAGTGCGTGCCCTGTTTTATTTAAAGAACAGGGATCTATCAAAGTTTGGTCATGTTTGTGGAAGTGTATCATGGCACAAACAAATGAGATCTCTGAGGACCTCAGAAAAAGAGGTGGTGTTGCTCATCAGGCTAGAAAAGGTTTCTAAGCCATCTCTAAAGAGTTTGGACTCCACCAATCCACGGTCAGACAGATTGTGTACAAATGAAGGAAATTCAAGACCACTGTTACCCACCCCAGGAGTGATCCACCAACAAAAAACACTCTAAAAGCAAGACGTGTAAAAGTCCACTAGGTTTCAAAGGACTGCAGGCTAACTTCTAAGCAACTAAAGGCCTTTCTCACATTGGCTAATGTTAATGTTTATGAGTCCATCATCAGGAGTACATTGAACAACCATGGTGTCCATGGTAGAGTTGTAAGAAGAAGGCTTGCCATCATTGATGGAACAATGAATTCTGAATTATACCAGCTAATTCTGAAGGAAAATGTCAGGGCATCTGTCTGAAAACTGAATCTCAAGAGAAAGTGGGTCATGCAGCAAGACAATGACCCCAAGCACACAAGTCGTTCTACCAAAGAATGGTTAAAGAAGAACAAAGCTAATGTTTTGGAATGACTGAGTCAAATTCCAGACCTTAATCCAATTTAAATGTTGTGGAAGGACCTGAAGCAAGCAGTTCATAG